CATTCGAAAAATATCTTGCTCGAAAAATTTGTGAGAGCAAAAGGTTTGGCTGAGTGAAAATGCGCCAAGCTTGCTTTGCAACTAAAGCCTTATTAAAGCACACCAAATCCCGAAATCCCAGCCCATCATCAGTTTTGGATCTGCACATCCCATCCCATTTAACCCACGCCATTCCCCGGTCGTCACCTTTCCCCCACCAATATCTTCGAATCGCCGCCTCGAGCTCACGAATCAGACCAATTGGCAGCATGAAGCAGCTCATAATATAGGACGGGATAGCTTGCAGAATAGCTTTGATAAGCACCTCTTTCCCTGCCTTGGATAGCTGTTTGGTGCTCCTCCCTTTTATTTTTGTCCAAATCCGATCTCTAAGAAAGCTGAAAATCTCTTTTCTCGTTTTTCCCATTGCCGCTGGCATCCCAAGGTATTTCTCGTGTCGTTGTACAACTTGAAATCCAAGAATATGATGAAGTGCCTCTTTCTTGTCTGGTAAAGTCGATGGGCAAAAGCACATCGTGGATTTCTGGAGGTTAATTTCCTGGCCCGACGTTTCTCGCATATTTTGCCAGGATATTTTTCAAAGAGGTCGCAGAGGATTCAGTTGCCTGGCAAAATACGAATGTATCATTCGCAAAACAGAGGTTAGACACCACTGGAACTAATGGGTCAACCTTAATGCCTTGAATCGCCCCACTTCGACTAGCGGTCTGGATCATCGCGATCAACACTTCTGCACAGCAAATGAAAATATATGGAGAAAGGGGGTCTCCTTGACGAAGACCCCGGGCTGGCTGCAAATACCCAAATTGAGAACCATTAAATAGAAAAGAATATGAAACACTAGATACACACATCATGACTAGCTCAACAAAAAAATGAGGAAGCCCAAATCGACAAAGCACTTTTCTTAAGAATATCCATTCAATCCGATCGTATGCTTTACTAATGTCAAGTTTAATTGCCATGTAATTAGTTTTACGATTAGAGTTCGCTTTAATAAAATGATTCAACTCATAAGCAACTAAGACATTATCTGTTATGAACCGCCGAGGGACGAAAGCAGACTGGGTTGGGCCAATAATCTCATCCAAAAAAGGTTTAAGCCGATTAGCTAGAGTTTTAGAGCCGAGTTTATAAATGACATTACAAAGACTAATGGGGCGGTAATCTGTCATTTTTTCCGGTTTGGGAATTTTAGGGATAAGAACAATAAAAGTTGAATTAAGTTCACGGGGGAGTTTTTTATGGTTTAAAAAATCAAGAACATACGAGATAACATCAGAACCTATGATATGCCAATATCTAGTGAAGAAAATTTTGATTCTCGAAGTTATTGTTTTAGAAGATCTTTATAAAACCTAGACGGTTTCTTGTAGCAAATTAAAAAAAAAAATCCAGTCCGGTATTTTTACAACTCACTTAAAATGATATTATGAATCCACGTCAATTTTTTTTCTTCATAAAATCGCAGAAAAAATTACAAAATTCAAAAAAAATACAGTCAGGTATTTTTACAACTCACTTTAAATGATTAATATGCATCCACGTCAATTTTTTTTCTTCATAAAATCGCAGAACAAATTACAAAATTCGTGAGTGAGTCACACGACGAGCTCCATTAATGGATATATTTACCGTTGTCTTACAATCGCACGAGATTTCACGATTTCAGCTAGATAGATACATGTGTCAAATACAAAAAACCCAAATATTAATCATAAATATAATGTTAGCAAACAAAAATATTTATAAAATAAAATGACAAAAATAGTTCATATATTTCATATAGAAGCTTGACACATTGTACACATTTATTCAAATTATTAATGAAAGTCATGTTATGTTGTCTTCTCAAAAACTAATATATATAATTGATTTGGCCCAATAAGAAAAAACTTGCGCCCAACCCTAAAGATGTGTCTGATTGTACTTAACGGCCCAATTTTCATAGATACGTGAACTGCATTCTCGTATAATAGTTTGCAAACTATACGAGAGATGTAAAATATACTAGGTTAATCATATGTGACATGTTCGACTTAGCGACTGTTGGCAAGGGGGCTCGAACTTGGGTCAATTACAGACTCGCTCCAACCGATAGACTCAATTAACAGTGGCTCACTTTTGAATCACAAGTTTCATGTTGGAAAGACGCAGTATGAATACTGAAAATTACGATCAAAGATTCCCCTATCAACCGCCATCTACTTCGGAGATTCCTACTGAAATATTTTTTAAATGATATTATTTTGTAGACCCCCCTCGTTTCCAAATTATATAGAACTAACTACCAAGTGGATTACACTCTAGGGGA